GAATTCATAAGCAACGTGAGTTGTAAGAAATTTCCATGACACAATTGCTACGGTTGTCGCAATTCAAACGATTAAAATATTTTACGCTCTGGACAATTATAGTTCAATTGAATCACTGCCTCGATATAATTTATCGAGATTTATCTTAGCAAATTTTCAGACAGTAGACAAACATTCGATAGAAATATTTCCAAGAATTCCAGAATTTTTTTTCTATTTTTTTTTTTTTTTTCTTTTCCTTCGAAAATTTTAAAAAAAATCTTACGATATAACTTACCGCCACGAACAAACAGACACGAACAGACGTGATATATAGTTTGGCCTCAACGATTACCGCTAGGTATGTACCGTTTAAGTTATTACACGATGTTTGATCGTACGTAAAATAATTGCGCGCGATTAGTGGTGGAAAATGTCCAATTTAAAATAGAATATGTAAAGTCAAAGGGGGGAAAATCGAGAATACATATGTACAATATTTATGAGTTGTACGGGTGTGAAACGAAAGCCAGAAGTGCCAAGAATCTCGCGCTCTCCATAACTTTTGCCAGAAGTGCCACAGACGTGTCGTCACTTCTCTCACCGAGTTCTCTGTCACCGTTGCTTGATAGATTATTCGCGTGTTAATTATTTCTCATTCTCACGCGTGCAACATAAGATTTCCATGATTATGGAAGAATATTTTTTTTAATATTTAATATATTGTTTTATGTATCGTAATTGTTTTTTAATTGTTTGTTTACAACACATGATATTTTTGTGCTGTGTAAATTACTCGATAATTGATTAAATTCCAGTTCTTGTAAACTTTTAAATTTTAGTGCGTATTGTGGAAGAAGAAGGAAAAAAGAAAGAGAGACGAATTTAATTTATATGTGAAAAGTGATTTCAAAGATAGAATAAAGTTAAAAAAAATATTATTAAATCGAAGTGAATCGAAATGAATCATTGCAACTGGAATAGAAATTTTAGATCGATGATTTCAGATATCATAAGTTTTAAGAAAGATAGAAAAATTTAAAATTATAATAATCTCAAAAATTTAGAAATAATTTCAATTTAGTTTCAACAGAGAATTTTCTCTATCCGAGCATGGAGAACCCATTTTCCGTGCCAATTCAGTTAGCTCGTCTGCACAATTTAATTTCTCCAGATTTATTCCTCGAGGGATGTTTGAAAACATTTGTAAAGATATACGATTGACATTGAGACATGTGCGTCGACGAAACGTTATAACACGTGCTGAAACGAAAACCGGAAGTTCTGTAAAATGTCGATGTATTTTCTTTTTTTTTTAAATTCAGCAACTATAAAATTATAATCACGTATATAATAGTGGAAATTATGGAAAATGTTGAAAGTCGATAAAATTGTTAAGATTAGTTTAATTTAATTTTAATAATATATACGGAATTATTTGCTTGACTGTTTGATCCTACTTTGATTAATTATCTTATGTTAAATTAATTTATTATATCATCATAAAACTATGTAATTCAAAGCAGAACATTTGATTAATAAAAAGTAAATTTCGATTTCTTGTTTGTTAATCATTTTACGTTTCTGCTCTCTCCTCCTCTCTCTCTCTCTCTTTCTGCAAAGTTCAACAGCAAACTAAGGATGAACTACGCGAAGTTCTAAGTAAACGATTGCCAGAACCAATTAATTCTTATAGATATAACACTTTAATACAACAGTCGTTCTGTTCTTCGCTATTAATTAAGATTTATATCATACAAAGATAATGTCTTATTTAGCTAGTTCGTCTTAAATACTTTATATAATACAATAATTTTAGAACGATAAAAAGAAACATTTATAAGTGAAGTAATTTCTTGAAAAAAAAAAAATTGGAATCGTACAAAATTAGCTGTAAAAATATTCTACTAAAAAAAATTGTTTATTTTTTCTAGAGAAAAAAAAGAAAGAAATTAATAAAACGAGTTTTTCATCTTAAACTCATAAGAAAATTTTCTCAAACTCGGTTTTTCATACTTCCCTTATAAACGTGTGTTTCCTTTAACGCAGTCGACGAAGCTTACCTTATCTAACATCAGAACATGATGAAGTCTTCGTCTTAAAAGATACTGGCAAGTTTATTAAACGATTACGTTCCCTTCATTTTTCCTTTCCTCGTCCACCACAGTTAACCAAAGCATTCTGTCTGGATGAGCATAACCGATGTTTAATTAAAGCGATGAATAATACATTTACTATACGTTTGCTAATTAGCGTCCTATTCCGCGATATTAAATATTAAACAAGGAGAGCGTGCGCGTACAATTATTTTCAAAGTTAATTAAAGTGGAACCACATAACACGTGTGTTTAATTGCATGAAAGCATCGGGATAAAGGGCGACGCGTAAACTATTGTTTGTCACGCGAAAAATATTATCTATTTGTGTCTCGGTGAATTCGATAGAACGATAGTTTAAGAACTACGGATCGCGGATCAGGTGAGAAGTAACTTCTGCCATACTGTTTTCGCGCATGCGCAATTTCGAGATATCCAAATCATCTACCACAACACATCGTATGATACGTTACTAAAGTTTTAAACTCTAATTGATGTGAATTGAGATCTAGATTTTTAACAAAGAATTCGATTTACGAGAAAAATATTTTCCTATAAATTATTTTATAAATGCTTATAAAGTTTTTTAAAACTTTCCAATTGAGAATTCGATTTAAAAAAAAAAATTCCTAAAAATATAGTGTTTTAGAATTTTTGCAATAAAATTTAATTTAATGATTTAATTTGATAATTAAATAAATTTTAAATATCAATTTTGCAATTTACGTATTAAAAGAAAAATCTTTATATTTAATAAAAATTCATAGATTATGTGCCGATTAATTTTGCAATTATTTTACAATGTTGCGTATTGAGTAAACGCCGTTTCCTCTTTCTAATATGAAAAAAGATAAAAAGATAAAAGCTATTTATTAAGAAAGAGAAAAAAATGCTAAGGGTAATTTTCATTGCTCAACTGCAAGAATAACGATCGTGCACACCGTTTACCATGCTATGGGGAATTAACAACGAATTACTTCTTCTTTTTATATCGGCGTTTATTAATAGAAAAAGTCTGAGGCGACGATCAATCGCTGCAAGCGCCACCTTTTCCCGCCTGATAGCTGTCGTTATTATGGAATACAACGATGTCAGTATGTACAAGCGATAATATTTTTTTTTCCTTTTTAATTACTAATAAAACTCATTTCCGCTTCACATCTCAATATATATATAATTTTTTTTTTGCATGTGATATTACAAAAAAAAGCTAGAAAATAAAGAGAACAGAAATGAGGTTCAATTAACTAACACGATGTGAAATATCGATCAAGTAATGTAAACCAACAAAATTTCTGTAAATGGTATACTCGTGAATATGAGCCAATAGTTTAGGGCGCATATTTCGTCAAACTATGCAGAACACCTGGCAGGTGCGAGAATAATCTCTGTTCTCAACTTCATAATATTAATATTATTTCGAGTCTCGTAGTATACAACGTTTCTTTTCTCATTCTCTTTCTATATCTCTGTCTTTCTATCTATATCTCTTTCTTCTTTTTATGCTATACAAATATTCTCTTTCACTCGCACACTTGCGCGCGCATACGTACACCTGTGTATGGGGAAACTAGCTCTTAGACTAGCTCTGTCTCAATAACTACAAAATGTCTTACCAACAATTATGAGAATGCTCAGCAATTAGAAAAGAGAAAAGAAGGTAGAAATAAAAAACAGATAATTCAGAGGAAAACAAAGAAAGAAAATAGAAATGAAAAAAAAGAAACTAGAGAAAACGATGAGATCGAAGGAAATGTAAGAAAAATTAAAGAGAGGTTATAACGTGAAAGACGAAAAGTAAAAAGATCAAATAGAGATACAAAGAGAGAGTGTCGCAAAAAAACAAAGGTAGAAGGTAAAAGACAGAAAGAGAAGAGAGATAAGTAAAAAGAAATGCGAAAGAAGAAAAAGGACAGGGAGGATGAACGCTCGTGGCGTTTACGGTTTGCTGCTCCCGTCTCGTTCCTCTTCGCTGGCTAACCGTTATACAACATCCGCTCTACCATAATGCCCTCCCGCTAGAGTCCCAAGTCCAATTGTTCATCGTTATACAATCATTCCCCAAGCTGTACGAAATTCAATGCGTTAGGTATATATACATACGATATTATGTGCTGAGAAACAGAACTGACACACCGCACAACCGTGTATGACTGAATTTATCGATCGCTCAAAGAAATTGAACGCGTATTTCTACCTCTACGTTCGACGAGTGTACGTACGCCAATACTCTGTAACACGTTTTGTTTTTATTTTTTTTTCTTATGACACAACTATTTCCTGCAATTACAATTATTATTTTATTGATAATCTCTGAATAATGTCTATCAATTGTGAAATGTGACTTTAATTGCAACAGACTTTACCTAGGTGTCGATAGTGTTCTACAATCAAATCTAAATACTATATATCTAGTCTATAACACGATCAATAAAATATTTGTTTCTTAATATCATAACATCATTTTATTTATGAACTTTTTCTATTATTACTTTATTTATGAGAGAATAATAGAGTCCTATCATAGACTTATAGAGTTATAGAATATTTTCATTCAAAAAGCCGGATGCGGTTTATGTGTCACGAAAAGCTAGCAGAAATACTCGTTTGAAAATTTTAAAGCAGTCGCTAGAAAATTTAGGGCATCAAGTACATATCTAATCGTATATGCTCTCGTACATTATTACAGTAAGGAAACAACTAACCTACCGCAACCGCTTGCAACTGAATATATCGATCGTCGCTATATACAAACCTTGTATATATATATATATATATATATATACACACATAGTACCTCACTTGTCGCGATTGTTTTTATCGATATCAAGAAATTGTTTGAATAAAAAATTCCTAACGATTATAATTACAACGAAAATACATGAAATTGAATTTATAACGATCATCAGAAATTGGTCGACTTACATTATTCTTGTTGATATCCTTGAACAATACTATTCCAAGCTAGCGAAAATCCAGGATCCATTTTTGTACGCATCTGTACTATCCATCATACTGAAATATGATATGCGTTATGGATCAAGCTGGGTTATAAAATTTTCATATATTTTAGAATATTTTGAACTTTTTTATCCATGAAAAATAGTAAATTTAAATAATGTATAACCAAATATCTAGTATAGTATATTTTTTATGCATGAAATAAATTTGCAAATATGCATATCTTATTTATAAGATTCATTTATTCTATCAATTTAATTCCTTTTTATTATTAATTTGATTAAGCTAATTAAAATGTAAAAATTTACCTCATTCCCTCCATGGGTAAAAACAGCATGAATCACAATTAAATACATTGAAAAAAAGGCCATTGATTAAATCTATTGCATTAAAGCGACGAACAAATAATTAGAATTTTCGACGGCATGGCTTCTCCGACATGTAATGAAGTAGTTATCAACTGACTAATAAATCACTAACCAATGTTGTCCAATTTTGTATGCTGTCGAGATTTACGAGCAGCTTTGCCGGATTAGCAATCGAATATTATAGGATTATAAATCCTAATTTGTAGTTTCGACGCGAGGAGGAGCGCATGTCGGTCTAATCGACCATAGAAATAATACAGAGATGATCGGAAACTTGCAGATTAGAAACAACACGGAAAATCGTTTCCATTATACGATTTCGATACATTTCGCTGTTAATTGCAAGATGGTTTGAATCCTGACGAGAGCCAGAATTTATCTATAATATATAATATAAACACCAGTACTTATCGATAATTGCCGTATAAAGCGATTAACCTTCTTTTTTGTATCGGTTAAACGAAGCCTGCGAGATCCTCATTGTTCCGCAACAAATTGTCGTGACCTCTTTGTTCAACAGGAGAAAATACTTTCTCGTAGGGAGAATTTTTTACACTTCCCGAGGGAAACAATATACTCGATACCTATGGTTAAATAATAATATTTTGTTGTACGGTAAAAAAACCTTGTGTGCTTCTGTAACTATAAGAAAATTTAATAGAAAATATTGTTGTATTGCGAAATGAAAAATAACATTTTTAAGATTTATTGAATAAAATTTTAATTTGTTCTTGATTTCAATTCTATTCCTTAATTACAATCGTTGACTCGAGATTGATAAGAATAAAATAATTACGGTAAAATAGATTCATGATCGATAAGAACCTACTCAAGGATATTCGATCTGTTTTATTTTACATTGCTAATAATAATCAATTAAAGAATTCCATTGTAATCGTTATACAAGGCAATTTAAATATTTAAGAAACAATATAAATTTTTATATTTCTATCGTTAAAAGAATTAGTAGTACTAAACATTATTAATTTTTTTCTCGATCATAATTATATTAATTTAAATTTTCATACAATTTTCATTGTGTTTGTGTATATAATATCACGAATATCGATCCATTTTCTATAACGCACAGCGAATCATTAATATTTTAAAGAACTTTGTGCTTTTGTCGTTTCCTGGGTGATCGTGTGGTGACTTCGAGAATCGATCGCATTCAAGCTTCACTAACCGTCGACCACGTTGCTCGTGAGGATACCTTTGATACTAGCTTCCCAACAAAGTCGACTTAACGCGGTTCCTTACGCGCTGAAACGTACGAGCGAGCAAATCCAATTATCGGAAAGAAGAACGGTCAAGGAAAGAGGATTATTCTTCTACATATAACGACTTCTCTTTCTAAGTTCAAACGCAATTGTAAATCTCGATTGTACACCACTGTTACTCGAAGCTTGTCCACTTTTCTCGATCTTAATTTGTCTTTATAGTGAGAATCGATTGGTAAAGCGTGCCATCGAAACGTGAGGGCGCTGCTTGTTTTGGATAGAACGAACGTGATATTAGTCGATAAACGAAAACGAGCTATCGATTTTTCCAATTTCGATGACACTATAAATAAATGTTTTTACGATAAAATAAATGATATATTTTTATTATTACTTATTCTTGGTTATTAATGATTTTTAAGACATAATAAAATGTAATAAAATTTGAAAATAAATTTAATTTTTAATGGATATTTAATGGATAAATATAAATTATAGATATATAAATATTATAATTAGAGGAATCATTCATCGATTCGATGAAATGTAACGAAATTGCCGACTGCCGATAGAAGGAGAGCAAAGTGAAATAATACTGATTATGGTCAGACATAGATTGACGAATACGAAGATTAATGCGATTTATATTAGATGAACATGAAGATAAATTGTATTCAAAACTGAACTTGACCAGAACTATTAATAAACAAAATACAATATAATTTCATAGAAAATCACATTGTTTCTTCAGCATTGCTTAACCCTAAAACTACCAATCTTTAATATTTAAATATTTATTTTACATACGAATGAATATAATTAAAGTGATACCACCAAAATAAATCTCAATAAATTACAATATTAATTTTGTCAAAAACATTTTCATATTTTCAACAATCGTAAAACAAAAAATATGAAATTTGGCAAGCAGTTGTTCTAATATGTTAACACGAAATATACCATATAGATCAATCTAACGAAAAAAAAAAAAAATTATCCCAATATATTTCATTAACTTAATATTGAACAGAAAAATATGTCGATAATAAATAACATTATTTTATAAAAGATGATTACAATACAATTCAATTTCCAAAAAGAAATTTTCTAAGTCAATAACATTTTCTCTAATTATATTTACAACAAAATATAATGAAAACAAGATATATTTGCCTTTAAGCAAATTAATTAACACGAAAGGAAAATGGCATTTGACAAATGATCGATATCAATCAGATTACACCTGCGTAATAATAAAACGTTTCAACAAACGTTTCAACGTTTTGTCGGAAAGTTGCTGGACGAGTTATCTAGCCGCGTTAGATTTAGAAAGTAGAACCCGATCTGCTGACCGACCCTTGCCGGAGAGGAGAAACCGATACAAGAAACAGGAACGGTTGCAGAAAAAAAAATTTGCAGTCCAAATTGAAACCGTGATTGGCAGTGTTCGATTGCCTCGTATTCCCATCGTTTTCGATCGTAGTCGCTTTAAAGCCCGGAGACAAAGCTCAAAGCTGCCGTTTGTCCCATCTGTTTTTCGTCTTCGCGATAAATCCCATTTCAGGCAATGTTATTTCCCGGCCGACAAGTTTAATTGGGTTTCGCCATTCAAGAAGCTCGACACGGATCATCCTTTATCCATCCATGGGGAACAGAAACACGAATTCCAGCCGAGCGGCTTATTATTTTCGATATTGAGCAACGGACCGCAGAGATCTGACCTTTTAAATATTGACAATTACCGAAATAGCTCACGTGTGTTTGCGTTTGCGGGCCAACCGGAGCTACACCTATATCGTATAGCAATACATTTTAATGAATTGAAGTCGAGAGCGGTTCATCGATATCGTAATGAATTTTCGCTTCTATTCGCGGTGTTTAAAAAACAAAAAAAAAAAAACGCAGTTGCGGCGCGCAATAGGTATTCAATGCAGGCAATATAAATGATATTCGTTAGAACGAGTTATTACGAGAAAATTGAATAGAATTCTTTAATTTCTTCAAAAGTGATTTTATTGCAAGCGAATATAATTTTTTGTTCCAAGAGATAAAAATTCTTAAGTAACGTTATAAATAATACGTTACGGATAATCGGCTTCTTTTTTTTAAAAAGAAAAAAAACAGACTCAAGTCTTTGAGAATATTAGATGATGATGAAGATGCTTTCGAGGGTATATAAAGTGTGTACTTAAACTTAGATGCTTTAATGCAATATTTCTTGAACGTTCTACGGCCGCATCAACGGCCATTACTTGCAAACAAAGTGGTTCTCGCGGGCTACTGCGAACCAATTAATTTTCTCCGCTATATTCGAAACGCGTTTCGGATCGTCGTACCATTGTATTCTAGACATCGGGCGAATTACCTATTCAACCATTGTACCTCAAACGCAAATAGAACGTTCCGGATTATCTCGTGAAATCTATCGAACAATATTCCTCGAAAAGTACTTACGCCTCGGCGAATGTGCAATTAAATTCTTACAAAAAGAAAAAAAATATATGTATATATCTTCGTTGTAATCTCGACGAGCGTGGAATGATGTACGCGTGCGAAAACCGCATATATACTTTGCAACATGATGCTACAATAAAAGAGTCTTACGTAATAACGACGATTACACGAGAGCTACTAGGACCTTCTTGCGTAAACCGCTTACGTGTTGCCGCTTGGAAAAATTCTGCTGTGCGGTTTAAGACAACCGGGTGAATTTTATTGCCGACATAACTTCGCTACAATCCCCTTACTTTATCACGCGGATCACACCGAAAAACGACCCTACTCCTTTCCTTTACCTTCGCTCTTTCGTCTGTTCCAATTGTAAGTATGTATGTATGTATGTATGTATGTATGTATATGGTCTCTCGACTCGCTGTGTTTCACGAACAAGCGTTTCTTCCTACAAAAGAAATTCTTCCAAAGCTTCACTTCCAGGAAAACACGTTACGTAGCTATTTTATCTCAGTCGTTCGAACATACGCTCGCCTCGCGCCGCTAGAACGTAATTCTTTGCATGCTTCTCCGGTTGCAACATTTTTTCCAAAGGAATAGTAAACTTCGAGCGAAGTGAGGATTTTTCTGTTTTGACCCGATCTTATCAATGCTTCTGCTGATTCGATATTCGGATTTTGAGATTATTGTGGAAAGTAAAATTTTAACAATGATTTTTAATTACTGGTTTCTCGGATTTTCTTTTTTTTAAGATTAATTTCTTTCGATTCTATAATTATTTCAGATTATTTCAAAATATATGTAATCCAAATAGAAAAGAATCTTTGGAAAGTGCACAACTTCTTTTTATGAAACTTAACGAAATCTTAAAAGCTCTATTATACTTTAATATTAGATACATAAAGATTGGTATTTAAACTTCCTTCCCACGTATCGAAAATTGTCTCGTCCTCCAGTCAACGCGATCGAGAAACGAAGCTAATCTTAAGAAAATAAAATTCCCCTTTACAAATCC